AGTGTTGAAGGAATGTGCTGATCAGCTCTGCGAGGTGCTGGCAGACATCTTTAACACCTCACTTACCTGGAGACAGTTCCCACCTGCCTGAAGACTGCCACCATCATCCCAGTCCCAAAAAGCTCTACAGTGACTGGTCTGAATGAGTATCGGCCAGTGGCCCTCACCCCGATAGTCGCTAAATGCTTCGAAAAACTGGTCATGACTCACATCAAAACAACCATCAACATCAACGAGGACCCTCATCAGTACGCATACCGTGAGAACCGATCAACAGAGGATGCAATCTCCTCTGTGGTCCACACTGCGCTCAACCACCTGGAGCAGAAAAACTCTTACGTCCGTATGCTCTTTGTGGACTTCACATCCGCCTTCAACACCATGATCCCCCAAACCCTGATGGACAAACTATCCACACCAGGACTAAGCCCCTCCATCTGCAACTGGGTACTAGACTTTTTAACAAACAGACCACAGTTAGTGAGGATCCACAACCTCTCCTCCTCCACCATAACCCTCAGCACTGGCTCTCCTCAGGGATGTGTGTTGAGCCCCCTCCTGTTTACTCTGCTCACATATGATTGTGCAGCTACCCATCCAGGCTGTCACATTGTAAAGTTTGCAGATGATACAGCGGTGGTGGGATGCATCACAAACAATGATGAGTCCAGCTACAGGCAAGAGGTGGAACACCTGGAGAGCTGGTGCAGAGAGAATAACCTTCACATCAATGTGAAGAAGATGAAGGAGATGATTGTGGACTTCAGAAGGAACAAAAACACCTACACCCCCCTGAACATAAGAGGATCTGCGGTGGAAGTGGTCTCCAGCTACAAGTACTTGGGTGTACACATGAATGACAACCTCAGCTGGAGCAACAACACCACCAGCCTGATCAAGAAAGCTCATCAGAGACTCTACTTCCTCAGACGGCTGAGGCGAGCTGGTCTGGGAAGCTCAGTCCTCACCTCCTTCTACAGGTGTGCAGTGGAGAGCATCCTGTGCTCGAGCATCAATGTGTGGCATGGAGGCTGCACAGCTGCAGAAAGAAAAGCTTTGCAGAGAGTGGTGAAGGCTGCACAGAAATCTGTTGGAATCAGTCTCCCCACCATCACAGACATCTACACCTCCAGATGCAGGAAGAGGGCCACCTGCATCATGAAGGACCCCACCCACCCAGCACACACACTTTTTGCCCCACTCCCCTCAGGAAGGAGGTTAAGGAGCATTAAGTGTAGAACCACTAGACTGAGGAACAGCTTCTACCCTGAGGCTGTTAGACTCATGAATCTCTAACTAGAATAATCACTGTGAAAAACCATATCATGTTGCTGCTGATCTGTTTCATGTTGCTGCTGATCTGTTTCAATGTTGATGTGTTCATGCGTGCACATCTGCTCACAGACTCATGTTCATGTTTGTGCTGATGTTCAATGTTTTATGTTATGAGTGCTTAGTGTATATTTAGTTG